TCCCTTGACCGATGGTTGGGTTGGTCGTACAAGTCGGTTGGATCCAACGGTCCTTGCTCGAGATAATACCGTTGGTTGTATATATCGACGTCCTCCCCAACCTACGAGAAAATAACAACGAGGTTAGTACATAGATTAATTAAAAAGATTATAACAACAAAAATTAAACCAGAATAATGAGTCCGTACCGCTTGAAATTCATCAACATAAACTCCTTCTCCTTGCCACCAATCGACCATTTTTTCGGCGCAATACGGACAGAGCTTCGGCTCGGCGGGTTTTGAGGAAAAAACCTAAGAAATATTTTCTGATGGCAGATCGGACTTAGCCGCAACCAACAGACTTCTATTTCCTAGGCTTTTGGGAGGGGAGGGTTTAGAGGGATAAACTCTAGAGAGAGAAGGAAGAATGGGTTGTGGTGTGGAGAAATGAGAGGGGAAGGGGGGGTATTTATACCCAACAGACCGCACCCTCCAGGGGCGGTCTGGTAATTTTGCCAGAGCAGAAACCGCTCCTTGCCGATGCGTTTCGCGTGTCACGAGGCTTGACCGTTCCTTGCAGGTGCGGTCCCCGATCCGTGGCGCGCGTTCAGCGGTCGGATCGTGCCCCCATCCAACGGTGAATGCTAGGTTGGCTGTCGATGGGGAGGAGGTTGATCAGCTTGAGGAGTTTGAGGACGATGCAACTGAAGTTGATGAGGATGAAGGAGATGATGCAGATCCACGGAGATGATGCAGCTCCACCACCACCTCATAACTCACAACACTCCACTTCCCACCAGGCTTCAGAGGCACCTCCACAGCAGCCTCAGCAAGATCACAGAGAGACTTCACAGCATTCGAGCTACAGAGGATCTGAGGAGTCTCTTCATGTCAGGCCAAACTTGTTAGACGAGGCAGGTGGTGATCTTGACGATGGCGCACCACATTATGATCCCACATGTGATCACAAAGCTTTGAGATTTGTATGCAAGATGAAGTTTGCTAGTGTGGTGCAAGATGAAGTTTGCTAGCTTTGAGATTTGTATGCAAGATGAAGTTTACTTTCGAAGGCTGTTCATTGGATTCTCATGCTTGAGGGATGGCTTTTTTGCTTGCATGTAGACCTATGTTTGAGTTAGATGGTTGCTTCCTCAAGGGCGAGGTGAAGGGCATGTTGCTTTCCGCCGTTGGAAAAGATGGAAACAACCAAATGTTTCCAATAGCATGGGCTGTCGTGGAAGGAGAGAATACCTCATCCTGGATGTGGTTTGTCCAGCTAGTAACTCAGGAGCTGTCGATGAGAGATGGTAGGGGCTGGACCGTGATTTCGGACCAACAGAAGGTAATGTTAGCTACTTATTTTAGTGAAGTGCTTCCCGTTACAAGTCTCCTTTGGCGCTAATTGTTTTGGCTATTATTTACCTCCTATGTAGGGTTTGGTTGAGGCGCTGCATGAAGTGCTTCCCGAGGCTGAGCATCGAAAATGTGCCAGACATGTGTATGCCAATTGGAAAGCAAAAAACAAGACTGATCGTGTTAGGAAACTGTTTTGGAAGGCTGTATATGCTTGTAACGAGCCGGATTGGAAGAAAGCCACAACTGAAATGGAAGAAATCCAAGGTAATGGATCTGAATCCACCCCATACACTGATTTCATGGCTGCTGAACCAAGCAAATTCTGTCGAGCATTCCTCTCCACAGTTCCCAAATGTGATTCGGTTGAGTCTAACATTTGCGAGACATGGAATGGTAGCATTGTGAAGTATAGGGGGTTTCGCATCATAGATATGTGTGAAGGAATTAGGGGTTACATGATGGATAGGGTGGTTATTAAACATAAGATGCTCATGGAGACTACTGATTCTCTTTGTCCTGGAATTAGGAAAAGATTGGAGAAGGACAAAGAGTTAGCTAGGTTGTGTGTGTCTAGACAATCTTTAAATGATAAGTGTGAAGTGAGGATGGGAGGTGAAAGGTATATTGTGGATCTGAGTGCAAAAGAATGCACGTGTGGGTACTGGCAGCTAAGTGGAATCCCGTGTTGTCATGCTATTTCTGCGATCAGCCACCTAAGGAAAAATCCAGATGATTTTGTTCATCCTCTTTACCGACCAATGCACGTGTCTGAGGGATACAAGGTAGGGATGCCTTGTCTTGTTGGTAGACAAGCGTGGCCAATTGCTGAAGGGTATGAAGTCCACCCACCTAAGGCTAGAGCTATGCCTGGGCGCCCTAAAAAAAATAGGAAAAAGTCCGCTGGTGAGTTAGAAACGAGACCACAGCGTGGAGGAGTGGGTGAGGAAGTATGTAGGCAAGGTAACTTGATCCATTGCTCAAATTGTGGAGGTGAAGGCCACAACGCGAGATCTTGTAAAGCACCTCCTGCTGCCCGAGAAGAAAGGGTATAATTCTAACCTACCTTCAGCTGTATTTTTGCTATTGTTTCGATAATACAGTAATGTGCTCATTTTCTATTGTTTTGAAGGTAAAAAATTCCTCTAAAAGGGGGAAGAGAGCTGCTGTCCAAGAAACGGTTGTGGATGTGAGGTCCAAACGTGCCAAACACTGCTCCAAGTGTGGACGACCAGATCACAATGTGAGGACATGTCCATTGAATAGAGGCCTAGGGATACAGGTAAGCATGACAACAGGGATCTTGCGTGAATGGTTGATTACTGTGCATTTATTTTTGCAATGATTTGAGATGTGACAATGGTGAATGACTATGGACTATATGGTTTTGATAAGGCCGTGAGATTAAATGTTGGAGATCGAGCTATGATTGATAGGGAAATACGTCGTGCAGCTGCTGGCGTGGGTGTGTATTTCGATGAGAACACGGGAACCAATATGTTAGGGTGAGTTTACAAATATTAATGTAAGGGTAAATAAGTTTGTCAAGTATTGTCCTCATAACTTAGGAATGTTTGTTCTTACATTTACAGATAAATGGTGACCGTGGTCGCCCTCATGGAGATCAACCAACAATTCCTTTAGCCCAAGCTTCTGTGGTGGACTTACATGGAAGCCAGCCACCACCAACTCAGCCTTAGGGGGTCATGAAAGCAACCTTTTTGAGTCATTTTTTGTACAGGCCAGCAACAGAGGTTGTAGGTTGTTAGGTGTTGTTTTGGTCGAATCATGTAATGGCTAGTATAAGCCTTAAGGATTGCTCACTTTCTGTTAGGTGTAGTGTAGCTAAGTGATGTGAACAAGTGTTGTGGACAAAGTTATGCACTTGTTATGCATTTGTTATGTACTTGTTATGATCTATTATGGGTTCAAAAACAGCTTATGTGATGTATCCAAGTGGTGTGAACAGATTATGCACTTGTTATGTAATGCAAAATGTGCACTTCTTTTGTCCACAAATACAGATAGTGAAAAGGTTAAACCAGCTTTATTGGTCGTTGAATTCCAAAATGTTATACCAAATTCAAGTAGACAAACGTACATACCAATATAAGTTCAACATCGACCTACATACCCAACTTACATGAACGATAACTTCTACATACCCAACTTACATGATCAACAAAACAAAAACTTCTACATACCACAATCCTTCCTCCACAGAACCACAAACAAAAACACATTCATGATCAACAAAACAGTCAACATATATCTCATGACCCGGATCTCTTTAGCCAATCTAACTTGGCAAACTTGCATCCAATTCCTTAATTCTTCTGTCATCAGCTTTTTTTCCTTCTTCCTCTTCTCAGCATTGGATTCAGCCAGCCTTAGTCTCTCCTCCAGGTTCATAATAATACTCTCCATCTCATGGTTCCTTGACTCTAATGGCTCCTCATTGCCATTCACCCACCTAAAAAATCTACATCCTTTCCCATCCTGCAAACCATAGACACTCCTTAGCCAACAAAACAACAAACAAATACAATCATCAATTACAATCGAATGACCTTACCCACCAATAATGAAAGCCATAGAACTGCCTTCCTGGATTCAACTCAGTCCCAGAGGTATTAATCACTGCTGGGACATTGTGTTCGCATAGGAAAGAAAACCCACTCTTGACGCTGGTTGAGCCCGAATCGCCGACATTCTTGCGAGCACCCCGACTGCCCCTTTGTGACATCGTTAGGGATGGGAGATGCAGGTTGACACTGCCGAGGGATGTGGAGAATCGGAGGGAGAATCGGAGGGATGGATGGGAGATGCGGGTTCACACTGCTGAGGGTTGACACTTCCGAGGGATGGGAGAATCGGAATCACAGTTGTCTGCGTCGAGGGTTTTCGCCGGATTGACACTGCCGCTGCGAGGGCCGAGGAAGATGGAAGAAGGTTTCGGCTTTTTTGGGAGGAAGAAGATGAAATCGAAAATCAGAATGGAGGAGAAGTCGGTCGCTGGAAGAAGGTTTAATTGCCCCAAACGATTCTCTCTCCTCCGGATGACGTGGCGCTTTGGTGACAAATTCAGTCCTTTTGGCGCCGACGTGGAGTCCATAAATCGGCCACATCAGCTAAGCGAACATGTAATTAACGGCGTTCCTGACGGCGTCACATTTAATAACGGAAATGGCTATTACTGTCAACGCATTTTCAAAATTTTGGCTATTTCTGTGTATTTCTCAGAATCTGGCTATATTTGTCACAAAGTGAAAAGTTATGGCTATGGAAGTGAATTTTCCCTTAAACGTATTAGGCCTGCGCCAACCTAAAGCCCAGCCCATCAAAAGGAAAGCTACCTATTGGACCCATCTTCTTGGTTTTGATTCCGCAGAATTATGGTTGGCAACGGGCCGGATCGGGGACGGTTACCCCATATCCGAAGCCCACCCGTCATTGCTCCCCGGGTATCATTAACCCTGCCCGCTAGATCCACTCGGGGGGAGAAGTCTCACCGCCCCCCGCCCGCACCCGGGGTACGGATTTACCCGACACCCGCCCAGACCCGATTTCCAGCTTTTAATAGATAAATAAAATCGACAAATAAAGAAATAGAATGGACAAATCAACACCCAAACCCAGCATGACAGCAACAGTATGAAACTCAATCTGAATTCTGAAATGATCATTGATCAAACCGACACTCAATTATCCAAACCATGAAATAGCAACCTAGGATAAATATCCAACTCAAACCCAATCTGAAATTCTGAATTCTGAAATAGTTATAGTTCAACTACTCAACTAAAAGTCTCAAAATGAATCAAAATGAAAGCTAGTAGATAAAGTGCTAATCTGCAGCAGCTCAGCAACATCAAAACCAGCATCAACAGCTCAACAACATCAAAACCAGCATCCTTCTTAAAACTCAGAAAACAACAGCCTCACAACCAGCAACCTTCTTCTTCAAACGCAGCAGCATCAAAACCAGCAACCTTCTTCTTTAAACTTAGCATCATCAAAACCAGCAAGTCAGCAACCGAAATAATCATGGCTCCGGAGCCGGTTAAAAACAAAGCTTAAAAACTTAAACATTCCCAAGAAAACGTCAAATGCAATGCCCTAAACACGTGGGAAAAACTCAAATGCATAGTTAATAAACCTCAAACTTTGAACCTCCAGTTATACTCATAATCATAAATACAACTGACTAAACAAACTATAACTCCTTGCTTAATTCCGGGACATCTCGTCAATGCTGGTGCGGCTGCTCGCCTTGCCTTGCTCCTCTCAAGCTCGCTGCTCTCTAACTCCTCTTAGTACTCTTCAAACTGGTGAGTGAGATGGGGTCAGTCTACGCCCTTACGTTTATTACTTTTAGAACTTGAGCACTCTTCTTAAAACACTTACTTAAACTTATGGGATTGTTTGTACTTCCGCTTTTAAACTTTAACTCTTAAAAACATATTATTTCTTCCTTTCTCTTATTATGGGGCCCCTACCTCGACTTAGCTGGCGCCACTACTAGCCTTACTAACTTTCTTATTTCTTAAACATGACTACCCTCACAATGGGGTGCCCCTCAAATGGGTTTGATCACCGCGGAACGAATCACCATCCGGTGTCAAACTACGGCGTGACTACCGCGGAACGTATCACCATCCGGTAGCACACCTAAACCTAGGCAATGGAAACCGCGGAACTTATCACCGTCCGGCTCCACGCCTGACCAACTACCGCGGAACGTATCACCATCCGGTAGTGATCAACTACCGCGGAACTTATCACCATCCGGTAGGAATCCTCCTAGCTAGTGGCTAGCTAAGCGAGGCTAACTTATTCTTACTCGTGACTTTCTCTTGTTCTTATCACTTTAACTTAATCGTCAAACGAAACGTAAAATCTTTAATCAAATACTCAAAGCTCATAAACATATCCTTCAAACTATGAATCAAAAGAACACACTTCATCACCCATAAACATAAGCAAGCACACAATTTCACATAAAACAACTTCTTAAACACGCAAGGCAAATACTTGAAAATACGTAAGGCGTAGAATTTACCCCCTTTACACTCACCTTATTTTAAGGTCGATTGACTTGAGTTACCCTTCAATGTGCTATGCAAACCAATGTGAAGAATCCCTATTTGATTTTCTTCCTTGAGGCCATTTGACATGGGTTATTCTCCGCAGGACACATGCACACGTAAAAGCCATGAATTAGAATTCATCCATATAGCTTTGTTTATTAATCCCTAACATGTACCCATAAGATTCAAGCTTTCTTCACCAATCAATTTCACTCATGTCCCCAGCTCAATGCAATTAATTAATCGGCAAGTCCATGAATTTCTATCCCAACCATTCATCAACGTCCCAAATTCGTGCACATCTAACCCCATTTAAGCCTCTCACGTTATTGGAATCCAATCCTTCCCCATCGAGCCCTCCCTCTAGTTTTTACGAACACTTCCCATTAGACCTCAACCAAACTTACGGAAGCACTTGTTACCTTGTTCTTGATCTCGCTCGAGAATCATGTGGAATCGTCGTTGCCATCCTACTGCTGTTGTCAATGAATGGTCCGAATCCCCATGAATGCCCACGGCCGCTGCTTACTCACTGTCCGGAAGAAGGTAAACCCAAATCAACATAACCCTTCTTCAAAGCCAAGGGGAAATCGATCAGGCAATCACTACTTAATCCAATCCCAAATCAGGCATCCATATCACCATCCACTGTATTATATTCAAGGGAACTCGATCCTTACCTTTGAGATCGATTGGTTCCCGACTCCCGAGACCGCCACCGCACCCATCGACCTTGATTTTTTCAACGCAGAGAGCGAGTCCCTCTAAGTACTCCGTTGATCGAACTGTTGGGTTGTCGCAGGTAAGTCTCGTCGTTGCGGCTGATCTGTCTCTGGCCACCTCTCCTTCTCTTTCTTCTGATCTTTCCACCTTCTCCTCCCGATTGTAACGATGTAGGCTGTGGTGATGCCATGAAGATGATGTCGGTTTATTAGAATGATGGAGTGATTTATATGGGGGAGTGGGGAATTTGATGGGGTTTGGAGAGATGGGGAGTGGCCGCTCGGCCCTCTCCTGCACAATTTATATACATATATTTATATTTTTATAATAATTAGTAATAATAATATAATAAATTATTATTAATAATTCACGGTTGCAACCCTTCGTACGTAATCGTTAACCCAACAGTTTTCGTATTTTGGTCGAACCTGAACCAAAAGTCGGGGTGTTACATTCATCTAAGGGTAAAATAGTCATTTTAACCCTTAGAAAGATCGGGGTGTAACATTTCCTCCACCCTTACAAAAATTTCGTCCCCGAAATTTGCTCGGTCTCATTCTCCCATACTCCTCATTCTTGCATTGACTTGCCTTGAGAATTTACTCTCACTCAATAAAATTCGATGATGTCCGTTATTTGTCCCGTATAGTCTACCTCACTTCTAATATTTCCTCTTGCCCATAAAAGGTATTCTCACCAAGCTCCTTAGCATCGAGTAACCTCGAATGGCTCCTCGACCTTTTTAATTCCCTCACTCAGTCCAAGGGAGTGATGAGACAAAATTTCGAATCAGTTTGTTGCTCCAGCTCATTCAGTACTTATCGTTGGACCATAAATCGAAATCGAGGTATCACATTTTCCTCCCCCCTTACGAAAATTTCGACCTCGAAATTTGTTGACCGTCATAACTCCAAGTCCCACCTTAGGTACTCCTTCTACCACATGAATCTATCCTTCCTTTACTTGCACAATCCCTTTACCGATACTTGTTTCTAGCTTGATACCCGAGCCCAGGTTGGTAGCTTCACGCCCTTCCTCCTCGAAGATTCTACTTGCTTTCTTCGGCCTTTATTAAAACTCCCCTTTAACGTTCTACTTCCCTGTCGTTCCTCCCCTGGCTTAATGACTTTTACTTAGACAAGTTTCGAGATTGCAACTCTTAACCTACCCTAGTCTGGCGATACTCCTTGTGTCCCTTGTATTTTTTTGACTTCCCGTGGCTACCTTAAGTTGTAGGGTCTCTCGAATCACTCCCCATTCGTTACATCGTTTATCTTGATGGTGGTCTCCTTCTTTTCCAAAGCTTGTCGCCAGACCGGTTCCCCAGCTCCACTGTTCCTCTTCTCAGTGTCCTATTGTAACCATAAGGTCTACGATCCTCCTCTGCTTTTCTTGTGTGCCCCCGAGCATTACTGAAAATCTAACTTTCCACTAGTCCTTGGGTCGTAACCTTACGTTCGATCCTCGTGAACTGACAGACCTTCCTTGCATCCTTTCCTCTAGATGATGGTCGTCATTTGCCGTAACCCCTTGGCTACTGCATGTCGACGAACTAGATACTTTGCTTCTCACTGAACCTCATTCTGATCAGCTCGCATTCCAGAAGAATATGAGTTGTCGGGAACCTTCTCCTCTCGCCCATGAAAGAGTTTTCACTAAACGATCCTCTTAAGAAACTACTCTGTCTCCCTCCCGAGACGTATCAACACCTCGCAAGGTCTCCTAGAGTTATTTTGCCTAATCATGATTTGAGTATAAACTGGAGATTCTAAAATTCTCAAAAGAACCCTGACTCGTTTGGCCAAACCTTTAACCTGACACCCTTTTTCCTTTCCTTTAAAAATGAAACCTTGAAAAATTCAGATCGTCACTCCAGTATTCCTTGGGGACCAAGAAACAGAGGAGGGCCGACTCTGATACCAAAATGAAACACCCCGATCCTATTAAACAACCGAAATAATCATGGCTCCGGAGCCGGTTAAAAACAAAGCTTAAAAACTTAAACATTCCCAAGAAAACGTCAAATGCAATGCCCTAAACACGTGGGAAAAACTCAAATGCATAGTTAATAAACCTCAAACTTTGAACCTCCAGTTATACTCATAATCATAAATACAACTGACTAAACAAACTATAACTCCTTGCTTAATTCCGGGACATCTCGTCAATGCTGGTGCGGCTGCTCGCCTTGCCTTGCTCCTCTCAAGCTCGCTGCTCTCTAACTCCTCTTAGTACTCTTCAAACTGGTGAGTGAGATGGGGTCAGTCTACGCCCTTACGTTTATTACTTTTAGAACTTGAGCACTCTGCTTAAAACACTTACTTAAACTTATGAGATTGTTTGTACTTCCGCTTTTAAACTTTAACTCTTAAAAACATATTATTTCTTCCTTTCTCTTATTATGGGGCCCCTACCTCGACTTAGCTGGCGCCACTACTAGCCTTACTAACTTTCTTATTTCTTAAACATGACTACCCTCACAATGGGGTGCCCCTCAAATGGGTTTGATCGCCGCGGAACGAATCACCATCCGGTGTCAAACTACGGCGTGACTACCGCGGAACGTATCACCATCCGGTAGCACACCTAAACCTAGGCAATGGAAACCGCGGAACTTATCACCATCCGGCTCCACGCCTGACCAACTACCGCGGAACGTATCACCATCCGGTAGTGATCAACTACCGCGGAACTTATCACCATCCGGTAGGAATCCTCCTAGCTAGTGGCTAGCTAAGCGAGGCTAACTTATTCTTACTCGTGACTTTCTCTTGTTCTTATCACTTTAACTTAATCGTCAAACGAAACGTAAAATCTTTAATCAAATACTCAAAGCTCATAAACATATCCTTCAAACTATGAATCAAAAGAACACACTTCATCACCCATAAACATAAGCAAGCACACAATTTCACATAAAACAACTTCTTAAACACGCAAGGCAAATACTTGAAAATACGTAAGGCGTAGAATTTACCCCCTTTACACTCACCTTATTTTAAGGTCGATTGACTTGAGTTACCCTTCAATGTGCTATGCAAACCAATGTGAAGAATCCCTATTTGATTTTCTTCCTTGAGGCCATTTGACATGGGTTATTCTCCGCAGGACACATGCACACGTAAAAGCCATGAATTAGAATTCATCCATATAGCTTTGTTTATTAATCCCTAACGTGTACCCATAAGATTCAAGCCTTCTTCACCAATCAATTTCACTCATGTCCCCAGCTCAATGCAATTAATTAATCGGCAAGTCCATGAATTTCTATCCCAACCATTCATCAACGTCCCAAATTCGTGCACATCTAACCCCATTTAAGCCTCTCACGTTATTGGAATCCAATCCTTCCCCATCGAGCCCTCCCTCTAGTTTTTACGAACACTTCCCATTAGACCTCAACCAAACTTACGGAAGCACTTGTTACCTTGTTCTTGATCTCGCTCGAGAATCATGTGGAATCGTCGTTGCCATCCTACTGCTGTTGTCAATGAATGGTCCGAATCCCCATGAATGCCCACGGCCGCTGCTTACTCACTGTCCGGAAGAAGGTAAACCCAAATCAACATAACCCTTCTTCAAAGCCAAGGGGAAATCGATCAGGCAATCACTACTTAATCCAATCCCAAATCAGGCATCCATATCACCATCCACTGTATTATATTCAAGGGAACTCGATCCTTACCTTTGAGATCGATTGGTTCCCGACTCCCGAGACCGCCACCGCACCCATCGACCTTGATTTTTTCAACGCAGAGAGCGAGTCCCTCTAAGTACTCCGTTGATCGAACTGTTGGGTTGTCGCAGGTAAGTCTCGTCGTTGCGGCTGATCTGTCTCTGGCCACCTCTCCTTCTCTTTCTTCTGATCTTTCCACCTTCTCCTCCCGATTGTAACGATGTAGGCTGTGGTGATGCCATGAAGATGATGTCGGTTTATTAGAATGATGGAGTGATTTATATGGGGGAGTGGGGAATTTGATGGGGTTTGGAGAGATGGGGAGTGGCCGCTCGGCCCTCTCCTGCACAATTTATATACATATATTTATATTTTTATAATAATTAGTAATAATAATATAATAAATTATTATTAATAATTCACGGTTGCAACCCTTCGTACGTAATCGTTAACCCAACAGTTTTCGTATTTTGGTCGAACCTGAACCAAAAGTCGGGGTGTTACATTCATCTAAGGGTAAAATAGTCATTTTAACCCTTAGAAAGATCGGGGTGTAACAATTATAACACAACATAAACTCAATTATAAACCAACAGTACTTCTCCATGACTCACCACACTATCACAGCAAAATCCAATGCCTAGAAGTTAATCAAGATCATCTAGATTATATGTCCTGTTCCTTGGAGCATTATCTACATTAACAACAACAGACTCAGTAAATTACAAAAGTACGATTGTTAGTATAAGAAAATAAAAGCATTATGAGAGAATAAACCTTCCAGAATTGCTGATTCAGATTGTGCCACTTCTTGCACCATGCGAGTTTCACTCAAGGAAGAGAAGCAACCCTCCAGATTCCCTACACCATCATCGCCGCCCCCCTCTACTTGAACAAAAACAGAAAGCAACAAAATATTAATTCATGCAGAAAGTTGTGCTAATGAGTATTGAACGTACTAAACTAAACATTGAACAAAATTACCATTAGCTTGCAGCCAAGTCCTCGTGCACATTAGAGCTTCAACGGTCGATTGATGCAGCCTGCTCCTATGAGGATCTAATAGTCGACCTTCAGAACTGAAGGCGGATTCTGATGCAACAGAAGTAACCGGAACAGCAAGAATATCTCTTGCAATCTCTTGCAAGATGGGGTATTTAGGACCATTGATCTTCCACCACATAAGTATATCAAAATCGGAAGTACGAGGCAAGATCTCCTCATTCAAATAGGCATCTAACTCAGCTGTAACAGAAGTGATCCTAGACTTCTTCCTTCGACTAACAAACAAATCAAAACCTTGATCTGAATTGCTAGAACTTGCAGGCAGATCATTACCAACAGCAAGATTATTACCATTACCATTCAGCCTTGATTGGTATTCAACCACCAAATCTCCCAAAATTCTTCTTATGTCACTAGCACTCAATGATAAACTACCATCTAGACCCAATTTTTCAGCATAATACTCAGCAATGTCAAGTTTATATCGTGGGTCTAACACAATAGCAACAGCCAAAATCTGCTGTATCACTTCCCAATATTTGTTAAACTTTGCCCACATCGATTCAGCCATACGCTGAATAATCTCATTGGAATCAAACATCCATTCACAGATTCTAATCTTCAATTCACAGATGCGAGGAAAAAACAGGTTCGCAGTTGGATATTTGGACCCCAAAAATAGATCAGAAACCAGAGTAAAACACTGCAGCTTCTCACATACAATCGAAGCAAACAACCAATCATCATTTGAAGGCAAACAATCATACTGATGGTCACGCTGTTTCAACCTATTAAACACTTCTTTGTAAGGAATAGCAATGGCCAGCATTAGGAAAGTTGAATTCCACCTTGTAGGGCAGTCCAAAACCAATCTCTTCTCACATGGAACACGCAATTGTTTACTAGTCTCTTGAAAAAACTCAAATCTTTTAGGTGTGGCCAACCAATAAGACACACTATCCCTAATCCTTTCAATACCATCCTTTACAACATCTAATCCATCTTTGACTATCAGATTCAATATATGAGCCGAGCACCGCATGTGAAGAAGTGTACCCTCCCCCAACAGATATGATAAAACCATTTTTTTCTTAATTTTGGAGATCATTGCATCGTTTGTGCTACAATTATCCAGTGTGATAGTGGATACCTTTGTGTCGATATTCCAATCGAGCATGCAATTGACCAAGACCGATGCAAGTCTATCACTAGAATGAGGAGTAGGCACATAGATGAACCTGTCCCAAAAAACAAACACAGAAACAAAGGATTAGATACCTATCAATTGCAAAGGCAGAGTTAAAAATCCATAAGTTCAAATAAACTAATTTTACCTTAGCATATGACTCCTCAAAATCCAGGAATTGTCAATGTAATGCGCTGTTACAGCCATGTAACCTTTCTTTTGGTTACTTGCAGTCCACAAATCGGTTGTAATAGCAATCCTTCCCTTGTTCTCATCAATTACCTTCTGAATTTTCCTCCTCTCATTCTCATAAACACAGAAGATCTCTTTTTTCATAGTGTTCCTACTAGGAACACTAAACATGGGCTGAAGCGAACACACAAACCTCTTGAAATAGAGATGATCAACCATCGAGAGGGGGTATTCATGCATTATGATAGCTACTGCAAGTTCTTTCTTGGAAGTATTAGAATCAAAAGCAGAAGCAAGCAAGTCCTTTCTCCCTTTAGCCATATAGTTAGGCCCTAAAATCTTTTGACTGCCTTCGTGAATCTTCCTATGCAGACAACTAGAGGTATGACTTTTCAAATGAGATGTGCCATTACTAGAATCCCCTCCTAATAGTTTTCCGCAATAGTTGCACTTAGCCTTCCATAAGTTATTGACCTTAATCTTTTTGAAATGTTTCCAAACCAGACTCTTGAGCTTGGCTACATCAATTACCTCTTCATCAATAACAAGAGGGGCAGGAGGAGGTTGAGGAACTGCTTCTCCATTTTGAGGTTGAACAGCAGCTGCCGCCTCTCCACCATCTGTTCCATTCACAATTGGAGGTGCAATGGTTGGTTGAGGACCTTGGTTTTGCAGTGGTACGTCAGACATTGTAGCTGCTTCTCACAATAGCTCACTGCACACATGACACACAGACACAAAGCATAGATTAAGATAACTACTAGAACTGATTTGCAAATGAAATATACCCACATAGATTATATAATTACAGAACCATAGACACAAGAGAAAAACCCAGACATAGATTATATAATTACTGATTTGCAAATGAAAAACCCACCTCGAGTCCTCTCTGCTGCTGCTGAATCGAGTTTTCTATCACTCGCTGCACACATGACACACAGACACAAAGCATGGATTGAGAATTTGAGATAACTAGCATACTTGATTTTCAATGAAAGAAACTAATGTCTATGAACTTGAACTGAATTACAGAACCAAACCACAGAAACAGATTTTGAAAAATGAAAATGAGAAACGAAACTCACCTCAAGTCCTCTCTGCTACTGATGATTTAAGGTTTCAGCTATCAACTATTGCACACATGACACAAAGATAGAGCATCGATTAATTATAGAACATCATAACCTAAGAAACTTATTTGCAAATAAGAAAAGAAAGTAAGAAACCCACCTAGCCAACCCAAGACCCTCACTGAATCGCTGCTTCCTCAAATCGAGACGTTTGAAGTCGATTTCGGCTGCTGCACGGACAGTCTCTACGATCTCAGCGAGAGGGTTTTCGCTTTACTGAATCACTGCTTCCTCTGTGCCAATTACCACTGCTGTTGTTTGCCGTCTGCCGATGGGAAATTGGGAGTGAGAGGATTGAAGCTTGGAGGGAGGCGAAGGCGATGAGTGAAATTTGAAGTTGTGAGCAGCTATTTATAGCTGCTACTGCTCGTTCTGGGATTGAGGCATGCATCTTGATTAGGGTTTGGGGAAATGGGGAAAGATTTGGGGCGGATAATGCAGACACAATGGAAATCGAAAATTTCTCGGGGGAATATGAACTGAAATTGGGATTAAGCGGCTTGTGGGAGAAACTTTTGCATCTCTATGCCTTCGGAAGGTGATCAAGGAAAGAAGAATCGTTGATATTCAAGACTCTTTGGGAGAATTGGGAAGGTGATAATTGGCTACTGGGTTTGGAATCACGATTGATGAATGAATGGTGATATGTAATGGGATATGGAATAAGGGATATGTAATGATCGGTGATCGGGGCGGATAGTAAGGAATTCGTGTCCGCTCCATCACCGTCGCTCACCAAAGTCGGGTTTCCCCGTCTCCGACCCGCCACCCGGTCAAAGCGGTTTCTGCCCGGTTTGACCGGTTCGGTTTCGGGCGGGTACCCTAATTTCCGGTTAGGTTTCTCATCCCTACGCAGAATATAAATTAAGACGGCACCGCCTGCGGCGGCGGGTGGAGGAGGAAGAGGACACTCGCTTCATTTCTCGCAAGGGTAAAAGAGGCTACCAGAGATTCGAAAATCGAACGGAAATGGGGATTGTGGCGGCAATAGGTGTGTTACTGCCGTTCCCATTCTACTACTTTCTCTGGACAAACCCACAGGCATGGGTTAACCTTTGCGGGACAAGTCGGGACCCGAGCAAGGTCATGGCTCAAGTCTCTCACTTCCTCAAGCTTCTCCAGTTCATATCTCTCTACTCCGTCTCTTCTTCTCTTTCATGGCCCCCTCCTTTCTACTTCTGGCCGCTCTTTGGCTTCGGCCAGTTCCTCAATTTCAGGTGACTATATGGTCTTTTTTCTTCTCTATTGTTTGTGGGTTTTCAATGGAAAGATTCAAGCTTTACATGCTTTTTCGAATTTCTGAAGTAGTTTAAATTAATGTTGTAAAATTGCAGGGTGTACCAATTGCTTGGAGAAGCAGGGACTTACTATGGTGTGCGGTTCGGGAAGATCATCCCCTGGGTGACTCAGTTTCCATTTGGGGTTATAAGAGATCCACAGTATGTTGGTAGCGTTATGAGTCTCGTGGCTTGTCTAGCTTGGTTTCCATTTCAGTACATCTTGTTATGGTGCTTGGGCTATCTGTTCATCAGCTTTGTGGAGTCCAAAGAGGATCCTGCAACTCGTGCTAAGCCGCTTGCTTGAGTTAAGTTTCAGATTCGATTAACACACAGATTTTGAAGAGGCAAAGGGTTACTTCTTTCCTGGAATTGAGAAGGTTGCTATGTGCTATACCCCTGACAATTTCATTTAGGGTTTGTGCTCTCAATAACAAGTGTGATGGCCACTAGAGAGCCTACTGATTTCCTTTTAGGTAGGTTTTCTGGAAATGACTCTAGTAGCAGAAAGTAAGCAGTAACCTGTTAGGTCTAGGTAGGCTGTCTTACATTTTTACTGTTTTTTAGTCCATTTGCTTGGAACACTGAGGATAGCAGCATGTATGCATGCTTTTGTTTTGTATGAGTTGAGAGTATTACTAGCCTCTTGACTTTCTTGGATAACATGTCTGTGCATATACATGTATCGAAAAGGGTCGAGATGTGCCTTTTATGAGAAACAAGATGCTGGGAACTCTAACATGTGTATCCTAGACCAGAGCAAGTGGGAGATCAAAAGCTTTCTTGGCTAGGATTACAACAGCTCCAGCATCTATGTCTTTTAGTTTGCCGGTTTTGGATGATATAATGGTGCATTTCTTCTCTTCTGCATTTGGGACGAACAGTCTCCCCTTCTCCTCAGAAGAAAACAGCGCAATGCTGCCAAAAGAAAAGAAAAGTAAGATATGTTATGCTGCATATAGGCACACATGATTTAGAATCCGTTTCAGATATTGATTAATTCTATTCTATCTACCCTCCTTTTCAATGTGAAGATTCTACCTGGGTTTCCCGCGGGCATTTGCCAGCTGGATCGCTGCTGTGTTTGTAGCTATTACACCAGCAGAGTCGTTTACAAGAGCAGCCAGCTGAAACCACATTACAGAGGGACTCGAGATCAAGCCATGAATAGTACTCATGCAAACCATTGGTACTACTAGATTGGTGCATTTAGTTTTTGCAGGTTTTTAGTTAGTACCTGTCCAGGAGTTGTGATCAAGACTATACTTGGATCATCCACAACTTCCTCCACATTTTCCCGTACTTTCTCATGTGGAATGACAAAAACTGGCTTCAACCCTCTGCTTCCCACAAGAACACACATATGTATCAGCACTATTTAGGTGGTCAGGCTTTTCCAATTTTGATGAAGATTTCAGTACCTTATAGACTCAGCAATGTCTGCCCATGTATCAATGCACAGCAAGCTATCAGTGTCCCCTCTGGACTGCATGGAAGCCTTGGAATCCGATTCAATCCCATGAATCACAACATACTTTCCTGTCTCAGCACCAGCAGCCTTGTATTTGGCCTCCACCACCTCCTTCACCTTTCTGGAAATGGAAACTTTCAGCGGAGGAACAGGTGTCCTCGGCACACTCCGAAACGGTTTCCCCAGCCAATCCAGCATCTCGTGGTACCTGATGAAGTCGAATAGTTAGAAAAACCCCGTGCATATCAGTCATGCCTTCAAAACTGGCTCATGGTGCCTGAAAACTTTACTCACATGTGGAATCCTCCTTCCGAGAGGTTCAAACTCTCTGGAGTGAATGTCTCTGATAGAAGAAGCCCTGCCCCAGCCGCATTCACATTCGGGTACACGTAGCTGACTCTATCTCGAGCCGTCGACAAGAAGAGGAATGTTGCATGTCCAAACCCAGCTAGCTTTGTTGATAAGATCATGTCATAGTACCTGCCCTGCATTCAAGAACAATCTCTACACAGCTTTAAAGGTACGCATGGAAATTGCAACCTTTGTCAACTACAGACACCAACCGCAATGCAGAAGAAACCAACTGACCCTAATAATTCCAACCATATCCATGTACTCTGCTGGTTCAGGGAAATCATCATCCGGGTCATAGGCATTAGCCCACCTCACATTCTTGTTCAGCTCATATGTCTGTTTCCCTCTATCAGATGTAATCACATCTACTTGAACACCAGGGTACCTAAAACAAACAAACAGAAGAACAATAGCACAAAAGGTTTTCCAATCACATTTCTTTATTTTGTCATCAGCAAACCTGAAGACCCCTTCACCTGTCCTTGATGAGCTGAATGACAGGGAAGAAGAGCAAGTTCTCATAAACACCGCCAGAGATGACACAGCAGCATCTCCTCACATCACCTCGAACTTTCAAGGCAAGGGAGGCAATCTCGACGCTATAGCCAGCAGGGAACTTGAGGAAGCCATAAGGGTTGTTCGGGTTATCAGGTGGCCTGGGGTCTTCATCTTGCTTCCCATCAGCAAAGAGCGAACCATACTCCTGTTCCGGGTCCGGACCATCGTCGAAAGGGTCCAGCCAGGGGTTCTTCTTCTTGGCGTGCACTTTGTGGCTCTGACTCGGCTGTGGTTTTCTCAGTGTATACAGATGGTTTGGTAATGGTGGGATCCTGTTGAATTGAGATGGCGGAAGGGAATGAGATGGGT